TTACAGTTGCTATGCCACCAAAATCTATTGAGCTGCCATGTTTTTTGGCAATTGCATCTTGTCATTTGTTATCAACATGTGAAAAAAATACCTTGTGCTATCATGTTTTTAGTTTTTCTGTTATTTAACGTTTTTGTTTTTTGCTAGGAATGTTTTGAGTCATAGCTTTAAAAAATTCTGTTTTTCTTTTTGTAGTGTTAACTTTCATACTATTATTTGGCTTGGAAGGGTTGAAAAAATTTTAACTGAATAGCCAGAGATGAAACTTTCCATTCTCACTGACTTTCTTCAGGAAGCTGTGACCCCCACTTCCATTCTCCTGCCAAATGTTTCCCTCTCTAACTTTAGTGCATAGCCTTTGAAGCATTGTTGACCACTTTTGGCAGCTTGCCTGTAACTCAAATACTCTGTATAATTTGCATAATAATCACCATTGATTTACATACAGTATAGGCTCAACTGCCTTCCTGAATTTAAAGTTAAAAAAAAAAAAAAAATTAAAGCCTTTTTCCTTATTAATGTTAAATGCCTTCAGGTAGGTTCCAACTCTTAGCACCTGTATAAGGTTTCCAAATTGCAGCTGGTGGGTTTGAACTGCTGACCTTGTGGCTTGCAGTCCAGTGCAGATTCCAACTTATAGTGACCCTGTATAGGGTTTCTGAGGAGTGGCTGGTGAATTTGAACCACTGGCCTTGCAGATCAAATAGACCTTGTGCTCGAGTGCTTATCCTACAGTGCTGCACCAAGAGTCCACACCTACTTCCCTTTTCAACTAGATTTGAGAAGGGATTCAGAACTGTATAGTGAATTGTTGTTGTTAAGTGCTGTGGTTCCGACCCATAGCGACCCTGAACAGGATTTCTGAGGCTGTAAATCTTTACGGGAGCAGAATGTTAGTTAGATCCTAATTATTTTCTACAGACCTTTAAATTTCTTTAGATGCTTGACAGATTTCTCTGCCCTGTGTTGGACACAATTTCTTAGCTCCAACTCTATAATGCCCCCATCTTCAACATATTTCCCCTTGGCTTACTATGTTCCTCCAAATCTTACCCCCTCATTTTCTTTCCATATTTTACGTATTAAGCTTCCATCTGATTGCTCAACTCAATAAATGTTAAAATAGGGACATTTATCATTTACTCTGCCATGTGTCTGATTGTTGTTGTTATTATATGTCGTGGAGTTGGTTCCAACTCATAGTGACCCTGTACAGGGTTTCTGAGGCTGTAAATCTTTACAGGAGTAGAAAGTCTCATCTTTCTCCTGCAGAACAGCTGGTAGTTTTGAACTACATACCCTGATGTTCTCAGCCTGATTCGTAACCACTACGCTACCAGAGCTCCTTAAGTGTCTGATTAGAGAGGTGATTTCATTTCATATGCTGAATAATTACTTTAGTTGAACTATGAGAGTAAGTCAAACTGCATGGCTACAAGATCATAGAAATCTTTATTTAAATGTAATTTTATGCACGTATGTGTGTGTATATATATATAAAGCTGTTATTTAAAACTTGTGAAGATGGTGTTTTCAGTGTGGCACTTGTACTATAAACAGTCGACCTCAACGTCAGTTTCAACTGCAAGTTCGGCACTTAACTAGATGGCACTTAAAAACAATAATAATCACTGCCCTAAAGATTTTTGTACTCTTCGATTTGCACTACATTAAATGGCAGTTTTAGCATCCTTGAGGGACATATCATGTTCATTTTGAATGTTGTTTTTAGTTTGGGGAGCAAAACTCAGAGATGTTTGATGGATAGGGTAAGGTTTCATAGTGAAATTCTGATTAGCAACAACCCTTGCTAATCTTGAAGAATCAGTTGTGATGAAAAAAAAAAAAAAAAAAATTCCTTATAATTCCTTTCCTGACCAATGAAGTTTCAGTGTTCTTAAAATTTAATGATAAGTTTCTGTGATTATCCTGTGTCCTTTGGGGGGAAAAAAAAATCTATCAAGATGACCCCTTTGAAAGTCCCCAAAAATATTTGCCATAACTTTCTGAGTGGACCTCTCTGCTTTGAAATTAATTGGCCCAGCAGATCCCATTGGAAGCTAATTTGCTCTTTGGATTGGATTGTAAATCCAAGACTGGCACAAACCCCTTCTCCCATTATGATTCGTTTCATAAAATTATCTTCATTGGCTTCAGTCTTGCTTAAAAGATAGAAAGTTCAGTTCTTTGAGCTGGCTATCTTCATGCAATGCTTTTGGTAGCCAATGAGCTAAAAGCTTGCTGAGACTAAGATACTCGCTTAAATGGAAAGTGGTGAAACTTCTTAAGTTTCCAGTTTCAGTAGCTATTTCATCTGTGATAATCTTACACCACACGCTGTGTGGTCTTCTTACACCAGTTTCTGGACTTCAGTCACAGTTTCTTGATTCGTTAATATTGATGGTCTTACTGTCTTTGCATACTCATTTTTTTTTCTTCATTTTTAAAAAAATTTTTTATTGTGGATTGAAGTTTTATATAGACAAGATCATCAGTTTTACATTGGACAAATCGTACACTTTGTTTCATCTTAATTGCAGTCCCCTCCTTTTAACAGTTGTTGTCCTGTTTCCTTCCTCCCTGCGGTGGTGGTGGTGGTTAAGTACCATTGAGTCAGTTCCGACTCATAGTGACCCTGTATAGGGTTTCTGTGACTGGTGAGCTTGAACCGCCGACCTCGTGGTTCAAACCAATCTCAACCTTGATATTGAGTGCTTATTCTATGGCAACATAACAGGAGTTCCTGTGGTTACTCATGCATAAATATCCTCTTTTAAACTCTTAAATATTTGTGAAAGAAAGCCTCATATCCACTCCCATAGATATTTATCTTGTGTCTTTGTCCATGTATCTACACACAGAACACTGTTCCAAGGTTGTATATATATTATTTTCACCTCTATCCCTTTTAATCCTTGCATATCGCCCTGATTCATCTGTTTTCATCATTCTTCTGCCAAACTCCCTTTTCTTATATATTGCCCTCCCTGTTACCTGAGTTTAGCCTGGTGTGGCGCTGTGGGATAATTACTCGACCACTAGGTCAGTTTGACCACAAAGTCAGTAGTTCAAATCTACCAGTCTCTCCTTGGAAACCCTATACAGAGTCGCTATGAATAGGAACCAACTTGATGACATTTAACAACAACACTATGTAGCCAGTGAATTATTCTCCCCTCCCTCCTACCCCTGGTAACCATCAAAGAATAAAAGCCCTTTTTTGAATTTTTAATAGTGGTCTTAGCTGGTGAGCTTGAACCACCAACCTTGCAATTCAAACGACTTTGCAGTTTGATGCATTTGCCTACAACGCCACACTAGAACTCCTGTTGGAAGATAGATAGATAATTGTTAACACAATATGTTTGAAATAAACCAGTGGATATATGAACTGGAACCAGAGTTTTTTATATACTTTCATACATGGGACCTAGACAATAGTTTCTCTTCTCTGGCCTTGTCCTGGTCAGGCCCACAATGTTCTTCATCTTAAGAAACTAGGAAAATCAAGTTGTTGTTGTTTTTTTGTTTGTTTGTTTTGTTTTTTAATCCCTTTCCATATCCATCCCTAATTTGTTTACCTGGCAAATAATTTTAGGAATATGTTTTACAATACATTAGCAATCTTAGAATAACCTTAGAGAACTTAGACTGAACTAGACTCCCAAGTTTTACTGTTAATTACAGAACTTAGTTTCCTTTTCACCAAAAAAGAAAAAAAGTTTACTAAGAATTTATATAGTTTAAAAAATTGTTTTAAATATGTATAGTATAAACTCTCCCCCTCACCCTTATCTTCTTTATGGGGCTCATTTCCTTAGCCCTATAACTAAGGTTTATACTTTTTAGTATGTATCCTACTCAAAAGAGGAAGATCCCCCCAATGAGTTGGATTGGCCAGGTGGCAGCATCGATGGACTCAAGTGTGGCAACAGTAGTGAGGTTGGCCCAGGATCGGCCATTGTTTCGTTCTGCTGTGCATAAGGTCACTATGAGTCAGTGCCAACTCGATGGCACCTAACAACAACAACAACATCCTACTCAAAATAGTTTTTATGTATACATAAAAACTATTGTTATCATAATGTTATTATTAAGTGATTTAGAGTTGATTCTAACCTATAGCAACATAAATAAATATAAATATATGTTTCTCTATATATGTTCCTTTGTATAGCAAAAATACACACTTAAGTTCTAAACCTTGATCCCCTTGCCCCCACACTTAACAGTAAATTCTAGGGCTCTTCCCATATAAGTACGCAGAGAACTTTATTGTTTATTTTGCACAATTTAGTTACCCACTCTCTTGTGATGATATTTGTTGTTAAGTGCCTTCCAGTCTGTTCTGACTCATAGCAACCCTGTATAGGGTTTCCAAGGCTTTTTAAGTCTTCATGGGAGCAGAAAGTCTCATCTTTTTTCCTACAGAGCAGTTTGTGAGCTTGAACCAGAGACCTTGTGGTTCACATTCCAGTGCTTATTGTATGGAGTCACCACACTCCTTGTTATGGTTGTTGTTGTTAGGTGCCATCGAGTTGGTACTGACTCATAGCAACCCTTTACACAACAGAAAGAAACACTGCCCGGTCTTGGGCCAACCTCACAATTTGTGATGGTTAGGTGGTGTTTAAAATGTAGACTTTAATCTTGCTTTTGTGAAAATTTGAGCTTGAAAACGTAACAGAACTCTCATTGTAACAAGAGAGCAGAATTGGAAAGGCAGGGGCAGAGTACTAAGATTTTTCTTTAATTAGCTTTATAGAGTTTTATTAGTAATTTTTATCCATTCTGAATCACATTATACTTTTCTACCATTAATAATAACATTGCCAAGTTTTGTTTTGTTTTGTTTTGTTTCAAAATTACTTAGGGAAAAGTATTTCTTTTATAATTTTTGAGACCATTGTTTGCATTTTAAAGGCATTATCTTTTTTATAGATTAGTATTTTAAAACTACTTTCTTTTGTGTTTGCCTTTTTTTTTTTTTTTTAAACTAGATCCTTACAATAAATGAGGATGGATCACTTGGTTTGAAAACCCCTAAGTCTCATGTTTGTGAACACTGCAATGCTGCCTTTAGAACGAACTATCACTTACAGAGACATGTCTTCATTCATACAGGTATTTCTTGAATTAAAATGGGCTTATAGACATTCAGGTTATTATCTTTGCTGTTTTCATCCCCGTAAATGTTATCCGTTTCTAAGACCATAGTTACCCTAACATTCTAAGTCAGTTATTTATAGGCCAGAGTGTCAGAACAGTTGAATTTGAAAACAGAGAGCATAGATGTGCAAAATTAATTAAATGGCCTGGATCAGAACAATTAAATGTCTTAATTTGTTCCTTTCAGTTAGAAAAATGATACAAGACTGTAATGTTAAAAGCCTGTTAGTATTCATTTTTCTATGCAAGAGTTTGCCAAGTGATGGCTGACATCATGAAGTTGTAGTGAGCAGAGCTAAAGTCTGATCACAGATTTAGGAGAAAAAGACTAGATGTGTAATGTGAACTAAGGACTTCAAAAAAGAAAGACTGTTGGAGGAGATTTGACAAATTAGGAAAAATGTAGTATCCCAAAAACCAAAAGAAGAGAGAATTTCAAGAAATGGCTACGATCAACATCAAAACCTTCAGGAGGAAGGAGTGGGATAGACAACTGAGGAGAGAGGTCATTGAGGAGGTTATGTATAACTTTTGGAAGAGTTTAAAGGCTAAAAGCACAAGTGGATGGTGAGGAATTTGAGACTTTGCTTTGCCTACTTTTAAGAAAGTTCTGTGGTTGTAGGGAAGAGAAATTACTAAAGTAGGAGTGGTTCCGGATGGTAGGAAAGTTTCTCAGCTTAAATGGAACCTAAGATTATTTAAAAGGCTTTAGCAAAAAGAGAGCTCTGGTAGTGTAGTGGTTACCAATCGGGCTGCGAACCTTAAGGTCAGCAGTTTCAAACTACCAGCTGCTCGCGGAAGAAAAATCAGGCTTTCTACTCCCGTAAAGATTTACACCCTTGGAAACCCTGTACAGGGTTGCTATGGGTCGGAACCGACTTGACAGCACTTAACAACAACAACAACAACAGCAGCAGAAAGTTTGATGAGACAGGATTTTCTTTTTTCTAAGATATACAGTTCTGAAGGTTCTGAAGAAGATATAAATGAAAGAGAATCAAGGGATACTTAGGCATAGAGAACAGGACGGGTGCATCTTCTTCCAGATAAAAAGGAAAAAGGAATACTTAAGATATACTAGAGTTTTTTTCCAGCCCTGTGATTTTATAAAATTAAGTTTTAAATTGTTTGTTTCCTCTTTCCCATAAAGGATATAGATCAAATTTAATCTGATTTTTGTATGATTTTGGTAATGTGAATTCTGAGATGTTTGGGGGAAATTTGAGAGGAATAAACTTTCATTAATGAACAGTATCAAAATTTTGTTTGAATAATTTGGAATTTCCCCAGATCTGGGTTTGTACTATATATTTTTCCTCAGAAATAGTAATTATAAACTGTTGTTTTATCCAGTAACTAATTTATGGATGTGAAATTATTTTAAGGTGAAAAACCATTTCAATGTAGTCAATGTGACATGCGTTTCATACAGAAGTACCTGCTACAGAGACATGAGAAGATCCATACTGGTGAGTGTTGACACCCTTACTATGGTCATTAAAATTACTATTGCAAATGTGCACAAGACTAATAAGTAGCAACAGTATGTTGCCACTTTCATTTTGACTATAAATCGCATCTCATCTTTTTCTTCCTTTAATAAATCATTGTTAACTATTAAAGCTTGCCTTTAGTGTCTTAAGCACAATAAATTGTTTTGAAATAAAATTTCATAATAACTTAAATATACTCTTAAAATGACTAAGGAAGGAGGCATTTGTGAAATAACTGTTCCTTAGATGTTTAAAGTAGGTAAATATATTTATACATGTTAGTTTAGGGGAGAAAGTAAAAATACGTGAGACTGAAGTAGAGGTGCTGTGTTTTTTTTTTTTTTTACACTTCTCCCTATATCATGTACATGGTTTACTATACCAAGAGAGACGTAACCTTTAAAGAATGAGAATTTCCATTTTCTCAGTCAAGTTGTTAGTGATTAACCATCAAATATTGGGAATTTTCATTTTCTCAGTCAAGTTGTTAATGATTTAAAAACAAATAATTTGGAAGGTGACTGCATTATAAAATTTAACATTTTAAAACTTAAGTCTCATTTTAGAGTAAACATTTGTATTCATTGTATTCTTACTGATAAGTGTAAAACCAAGTTTTGTAACTCCGTGATTGAGTAGGCTGTTAAATTTTGATTTTTGATACTTTAAGTGTAGTGAAACATGTTTCTTTAGATTTGATTCCCAGTAGTTTGTCAGTGAATTTGTACACCTTTGATTCTTGTACAGATTTGATGCAATTGATAATGATGGTGATATTATCTAAATATTGAAAATGTTGAAGTTTTTCTTATTTCTCTATGTAAAGTACTTAAGCGCCTGCCCAGTGTTGTTCTATAGTTGTTTTCTCATGGGTACCTACAGCACCTGAGAGGAGATCCTTGGATAGTGTGTCATATAGAAATAAGTTTTTTTACCCAGTAACTTTCCTTCAATTTCTTTTCCTCCAACTAAAATGTCTGAAGGTGGCTGGTGTACTTAAATAAAAATAAAATGGCACAGCACATCCATATGCCTTAATGTTCTACCTTGTTTCTTCTTTTCAGTGTTATATTTAAAAAAAAAATCATTTTGCACATATTCATTTCAGTTTCTTTCATAAGTAAACATTCATTACTTTTGTTATTAAAGGGAATATGAAAGGCACTGTTAGAGAATGAACAACTTTATGGATTTTGTGTGGCTTATAGATAGGCGTCCTGGTGTGGCACTGTGGGCTAATGCATCAGACTGCAAAGTCATTTGAACTGCAAAGTTGGTGGTTCAAGCTCACCAGCTGCTCCTTGGAAGCCCTATACTGGGTCACTATGGGTTGGAATCAACTCAATAGCACTTAACAACAATAACATAGATAAATTTAAATTTCTATACAATAATTGGATTAGATGAAAACAAAAGTGGTCAAATATAGTTTTGTTTATTCTTAATAGCTACTAGATTTTGTTAATGTATCTCATTCACTCAGTAGGAATTTACTGAGCCCCTAGTATATTTCAGGCACCAGAATTACATATATATTTACAAGGCATCTTATTTGGAATGTATACTCTGAAGGGGGAGACAAACAAACACTGTATAATAAGTGTATAGCATTTCATACACTAAATGCTGTGCTGCACTGAGGAAGAGACAGATGTGCTGTCTGTAGAAGGTGACTGAGGGAAGGCATCACAGGAAAGCTGTGTGAGGTTAAATATGAGGTTGATAGCGACCCTGTATAGGGTTTCCGAGGAGCAGCTGGTTCAAGCTGAGCTTGTAGATCATACCAACTTTGCAGTCTAACACATTAACCCACAACACCACACCAGGACTCCAACACGAGGTTAAGGGGCCTCAAAAAGTTTGTGGAAAAATTCCATTATCTTTTAATAACATTTTCCCACAAATTTATTGCAGTCCCCTTGTGTGTGTGTATAATCTAAAACATAATCCTTACTCTTACTGTATTCTGATATTTTCTGTTTTCTTCTAGTGAATTCTTTTTTAAAGTCCTGGTCACAGTCCTGCAATTCCTGTTTAGAAAAACAACTGCTCTAGTCCTTGGGGTATCTTAGATTTAAACAAGGTGTTTTGGATAGTTAAGATTTATTGAAAATTTGATAAGTACCAGGTATTGGGCCAAATGTTTTGTTACATATCTCATTAAATTTCCACAATATCTCTAAAAGGGTGCAACTTATTACTATTCCAATTTCTTATATAAGGAAGTAGTATGCATGGCGAGACTTTCCAGAAGTATTTAATTTTCATGGTATAAACAGTTAACCAAAATTTTGGATCTTCCAGTCCACCCTGAGGTACTTTGGGAGAAAGGCCAGCAGTCTATTTCTGAGATATCAGTCATTGAAAACCCATGGAGCAGAGTTGTACTCTGACATATAAGGGGTCGCTATATGTCAGTCATGTAGCGCTGTGGGTTAATGTGCCAGACTACAAAGTCATTTGAACTGCAAGGTCAGCGGTTCAAGCTCACCAGCTGCTCCTTGAAAACCTTATACAGGGTCGCTGTGGGTCGAAATTGACTCGACGGCACTTAAAACAACAGCATGTGTCAGTGAACTTGACAGCAACTGAGTTTAATAAATGTTGGAGCCAGGATTCTAGCTTGTCTCTCAGGCTCCAGAGTACACGTGTTGAAACCACCAGCTGTGCAGAATGAGATCAGAAATAGGAAAATATTTTCATCCTTTTGAGATTTTCTTGCTATGCCACTTATTGTTAAGTGCCATCAAGCTGGTTTTGACTCATAATGAACCCTGTATAGGGTTTCCAAGAAATGACTAGCCATCCAGTGCCACTAGAACCACTGAGAACAAGTATATGATAGATTTCCTTTAGATTTAATGTTGTTAGGTACCATTGAATCAGTTCCGACTCATAGTAACCCTGTGCACAGCAGAATCAACTACTGCCCAGCCCTGTGCTATCCTTAACAGTTATTGTTTAGTTTGATCCCATTGCTGCTGCCACTCTACCAGTCCATCTCATTGGGGGACTTCCTTGTTTTCAATTACCCTCTTCTTTACCAAGCATGATGTCCTTCTCAAGGAACTTGTCCCTCCTAACGACATGTTTAAAGCACAAGAAACAAAGTCATGCAATCCTCACTTCTAGGGAGCATTCTTGTTGTACATTTTCCAAGACAGATTTGTGTGTGCTTCTGGCATTTCATATACTTTCAATATTATTTTTCAGTACCATAATTCAAATGCTAAAATTGTTCTATGGTCTTTCTTATTCATTGTCCTACTTTCACATGCATACGAAGTTATTGAAAATACCCATGGCTTGGGTCAGGCACACCTTAGTCCTCAAGCTGACATCTTTTCCCTTGGAGACTTTAAAGAGGCCTTGTGCAGTAGATTTGATTTATTAATTGCTGCTTCCATGCGTGATCTTCATCAGTAAGTTTTTAAGTCCTTTCATTTACAGTAAGCAAGATTATGTCTTCGGCATATTGCAGGTTGTTAATGAATATTCCTCCGATCCTGATACTATGTTCTTCATATAATTTGGCTTCTCGGATTAATTGCTCAGCATACAGATTGAATATGTTTAGTGAAAGGATATAGCCCTGGCAGACACCTTTCCTTATTTTAAACCATTCAGTACTCCTTTGTTCTATTTGAACAGTTGCCTCTTGATCTTTATATAGATTCCTCATGGGCATTATTATGAAGTGTTCTGGAATTCACATTCTTCGCAATGATATCCATACTGTGTTTTGATCTTCAAAGTCAGAAGGCTTGCATAGTCAATTAAACACACGTAAACATTTTTCTGGTATTCTCTGCCTTCAGCCAAAATACCATCGTTTATCAGCAATGATAACCCTCATTCCATGTCCTCTTCTAAATCTAGTTTGAATTTTTGACAACCCCTTGTTGATGTACTGCTGCATCTTTTACTGCAAATTTTAAATTTATCTTCAGAAAACCTGTAGGTTTAATAACATCTAAAAGGATTAGAAGCAAAGGCAGGAGTTGTCTGGAAGAGAACTTAAAAATTTAAAAGAAGTTACAGAACTGAGAGAAATATAGGCCAAAGCAGTCACTTTGGTTAAGTTATAAAGGAAAATTTCTTTTGAGAAGAGATTCAATTTTGCCCGATTTTTATTCACCCTTACATTTGGACGGGGAATGGTTTGTATTTAATTGCATTCTTGTTCTTATGGACGCTTTTGAAGGTATCAAAATAATTTTGTGTTATAATCAAGATACTTATAACTATAACCTATCTGGGAATATATATGTAGGAACTCAAATGTTTTCCATAGTTTATAATTCTATCCTGTTCTTTCTTTCATGTTCTAAATGGCTTTAGGCATTTAGAAGTTTGCCCATGCCAAGGCTCTACTTCTCTGTAGTCTTAATTTAAAAGAGTACATAGAAATAGATATAGCAGCAAGAAAATATAAGCACTGGAGTGCCAACTACAAGGGCAGCAGTTCAAACGCATAAGCTCCTCCTTGGAAACACTATATTTAGTCACTGTGAATTGGAACCAACTTAACGTCACTTAACAACAACAACATCTGTTTTTAAATTGTCAGGCAGGTACCGAGTTTTCTGTCAAGTGATCCTCAAAGGTTGTATACTGATTAAGAACTATTAGTTCTTTCCTCATAGCCTGCCTCATCTGTTTAGGAATCGTTATTTTGTGCCATCTCCTGTCCCTTGTACCTACACACCAAACACCTAGCTTGATTTTGGTTTGAATAGAAAACCTTTTAATTTGGTTTGGATAACTTGTCACTTAATTATTGAATGATGCAGAAAGCATCAAAAGAAGAAGGAAGGAATACACAGAGTCACTGCATCAAAAGGAAATGGTTGATATTCAACCGTTTCAAGAGGTAGCCTACCATCAAGAGCCAATGATACTGAAGGAAAAAGTCCAAGGTGCATTGAAGGAATTGGCAAAAAAAAAAAAAGCAAGGCACCATGAATTGATGGAAT